CAATATTATATTTGCTTACCATAGGCAAGGCGACTGGAGTAGTTCGCATATGACATTGTAATACAGTGCGTGTTTTGCATTTATATTAATTCGAGTAGTTTTTGCTGTGTTTCACGTGTTTTAATTTTATTGTACGTATATGTATATATTTTATTTCATTTTACGTATATGTATATATAATAATTTAAGTAGTTTTTCCGAAATGAATTCAGATTTACCCCAACCGTGTACAAGTTCTCAATCCTGTCAGGAAAACAGTAATGGACAGTGTTGTATTGTGTGCGATTTATTAAAATGTGGATTTTCAAAATTTAACTTTCAAGAAAAGTGTAATATTATATCTGTAGGCAGGCCAAAACCATTACTGGAAATTCAAAACAAGTCGACGAAATGTACACGTTATTTTAACAAAAATATATACGATTCCTTTAAGTGGTTGACAGGTTGTAAAACTCTCTCAAGATTATTTTGTTTTCCGTGTATATTATTTAATATAAGTGATAAAAACGTGTGGAATAGTACGGGTTACTCAGATTTAAATAATTTGCACAAATCTATAAAACGACACATTTTAAGTAAAACGCATTTAGAAGCAGTTATAAAAGAAAAGACTTTTGGGAAAACCCGAATTGATCACGCTCTAGATAATCAGCTTAAAGTTAGTCACCGCATGCATAATGAGCAAGTAAAAAAAAATCGTGAAATATTAAAAAGACTGATTCATATTACATGTTTCCTTGGAGAACATGAACTTAGTTTCCGAGGGCATAATGAAAATTATGAATCTGTAAATAGGGGAAATTTTGTGGATTTAGCAAATTTTTTATCTGAATATGACGAACTATTAAAAAGTCATTTAGATCAATCTACTGTATTTCGAGGTACCTCGAATAGGATACAAAACGATTTGATCAAGTCTGTGGCAGATATTGTTCTGCAAAAATCAAAGAAGAAATAAAAGAAGCACAATTTATTTCCATTGTTCTAGATGAAACTACAGATATCGTGAATTTGAGTCAATTGTCGGTTGTTCTGCGTTACATCAAAAATAATGGTGAAATACAAGAACGATTTTGGGGATTTTTGGATATAACTGCAGATAGATCGGCAGAAGGTATATATAGACATGTCTGTAATATAGTTGAGGAACTGGACTGTGGTTCCAAACTTGTCGCTCAAAGTTATGATGGAGCTGCCGTAATGGCTGGGCACCTCGGAGGACTTCAAACCAAAGTTAAGGAGAGGTTTCAAAATGCAATTTTTGTGCACTGCTTTGCACACAGGCTAAATTTAGTTCTAGCGCAATCAGTCGCACTCAATAAGACTTGCAAGGTATTTTTCCAAACCTTGAGTGGAATGGCTGCTTTTTTTTCTAAATCTTCCAAAAGAACACATGCTTTAGATGTCATTCTTCAGAAAAGGTTCCCTCGAGCAGCTCCCACCAGATGGAATTACAATGGGAGGTTAGTAAAAAACAGTTTCCCAATATCGGCAATCCCTAATAGAGTTATTTGAAAGCATTTTGGAGCATAAAGACCATTGGGACCCTGAAACTGTGAATTCCTCAAGAGGTTATTTGGAATTAGTCAAACGAGATTTTGATTTTAATTTTTTGCTTCAAGTATTTTCTGAAATATTTCCTTATACAGACATTTTATTTGATGTATTGCAGACTAAATCAAATGATATCGGATTTTGTATTAAAAAAATTAACGAATTCGAAGTCCAAATCAACAGACAGAGGGAGCAATTTGATATCATGTGGCAAAAAACTTGCGATCTAGAAGAGATGGAACCCAAGAGAAAACGCATTAGAATTGACGATGTAGGCGACACAAAAATATCTTATAATCGACTTTTTTGTGAAATAATAGATAATATTTCCCAGCAGCTTAAAGAAAGATTTAAAAACCTTTGTGAGTTAAGATTTGTGGAGTTATGCAACTTCAATAAATATGCCGACTGTAGTTTCCCGGATGAGGCTTTTAGTTGTCTAAAAAAACATTATGCAAACTTTTTTGACCTTCTTTCCTGCATTCCCAACTGTGCGTTTTGTATGCTTCTCAACACTCTATACAAACTGATACTAGTTCTAAAATGCTGACATTTCTTAAACAAACTGAACTGGATGAAGCATATAGTGAGGTTTCAAAATTATGTGACTTAGTGATGACAATACCTGCCACAAGTGCGTCTGTAGAACGAAGTTTTTCTGTACTAAAGCGTATTAAAAACTTTGTCAGAAATTCCACAAGTGAGGAGAGGCTAGCTAACTTAGCAATTTTATCAATTGAAAAAGAACTTATTAAAGAAATGTCTGAAATCCAGTTTTTATGAGTCTGTGATAAACGAGTTTGCCAAGGTTGATAGAAGAATAGAGCTGCACTACAAGTAAAAAGGTTAGTAAGTCTTTTTATCATTTCCTTTAATTTGCATCCTTTCTTCTAATGTCACGGCACGCCACTGACTATTAGACTGAGCAGCTATACTAGAATTTCAAAAAGGAAGACCGTATCGAAGATGAGACTCGAACCGAAATATGTTATTTTGGAAGATGCTGAATCGATTTCCTTCGAAACAGATCTTATTGTATAGCAAGCTCAAGCTAGTTTCCTACTTAACAAATCTATATGAAGGGACCGTTTAAGGTGGCTGTCAAATGTAATCTTTATGATAAAACGCATTTTAACTTTTGTTAATAGGACACTTGGATCAAAGGATTGAATTTTTACTTTCGAGCTGATACAAATTTTATTGAACATTGATTTCGAGCACATAACTACATTCAAAATCAACGGTCGCTTCAAGCGTTGTTTCTGAGAAAACGGTTTATTCTACAGAAAAAGTGCTAACTAACATTTTTGTTTAAAATTATCTCAGCTACATTTTTATTTGAAATATTTTTCTCTAAGACGTACTGATTCTTGGTAAATAGATTTTTTTGCGTTTTTACCCGCCTACGAGGGGGATTTTAAGGTAAAAACGGGAGTAAAAGTGGTAAACATTCTTGTATTTTTTTTGAGGCTCCAAAATTAATATTCTTGGCAAAATTCAGCTTGTTCGTATGATTTTTAGAGGTTGAGTGGCATTCTGGTCTCTGACAACTAGAGTAATAAAGGAAAAAAAAATGTATTATTTAAAAATTCTGAACAAAAACGATGCAGCTTAGATACACCATTGATTATAAACCACTACCGTGGTAGTGGATTATAATCAATGGATACATTAAGCAGAAAGAACGTAAAAGACTAGCAGGGAAGATCGTTAAAAAAAGAGAATTTACGGAAGTTTACAACACATTAGAAATAAGGAAAAATATGTAAAACAACACATAGCTGAAGAAGCTCTAGGACAGAATTAAACATAAAGAACAAAAGAATGGTTTAACGTAGAATCTGAAATAAAAATCTAGTTGAAAACCCAGCTAGAACTAAATACATAGCAAGTAGAAAGAAAAACTCGTAAACGAATAAAAGACAAAATAAAGACGACGAAAAATAGACAAAAAACAAAAAATTAATGGATGGATTAATTTTTAAAATATAAGGAATAAAATAACAATATATATAATGATAATATCAAACTATTTTCCTATCTACATACGCATCAAAAGAAATATAGACAAAATTGACAAAATAGAACAAAAGCACAATATGAAATCTATAAAAACACTTTAAAAGCACTTTACTGAAATATATAAAAATAGTATATTATATATTTATACACAAAATGTATTAATAGAAATATCACCTAATGTTCCTTAATTATCTATCTATTTGGATTTTAAACGAATCAGTTTCAAGGAGGCGCGCGGTTCTTACCTGGCCAATGGATTTTTAAAATTAATTACACTGTTTGTTATTTGTCAATGTTAATTACTAATACTGAAGTATGTGATTCATCCAAATTTTGTCGTTCAATAATGTTTTGAAGGTTGGGCATATGAAATTACTACTTTTTGTAATTGGTGAGAAATAAACCTGCCTTCAGAATGTATACAGATGGTAAAAAAGAAAACATTTAAAATTGTGGAACAGGTATACGAGCTCAACAGTTCAACAATTGCGTTTGTTGTCATTTTTTTGTTTGTTTACTTTATTTCTTTTAATTCTTTGATGGGTCCATAAAATCTTTTAGTCTTTTTTTCTGGTATATTTTATTTTTGTCTATAATTGTTAATCTTCTCTCTACAGCTTCGTTTATTTGCTGAAATAAATTTTTAAAAAACCTTTATTTGGCTTTTGATCATTGTCTATAATGATTCTACTATCTTTAAATCATTTTTATAGATCTCTACTTACTATCTTCCTCTTCATGAACTTTAACGGTAAAACAAAAACGATAAAATTAAAATAGTAAACTCTTTATTGAAAAATATTATTTGCATATACAATTTCTTTTATACAAACATATATTTAATATAAGAAATCACATTTTTAGACTAGAATACCGCGACTAGATAAGTAGATAATGTAAAAATAGGTACATAGATTTTATTTGGCTTGTTTCGAACTTGAGTGGTCTATAAAACATTTTATTTAGTTAAGGTTGAAGAATTGACACTTAAATTTTGCACTATAAGCAATGAAAACATTTGATGATTTTTAAATGACGATATTAGAATAGTTAAAAAAAATAGACTTCAAAATCAACTAATTCAGGCAGCAAGATAGTAAATAAAGGAGAAAATAATTCAATAAAGCTTGATGTGTGTACTAAAAAATATAGAAAAATATGAGGACTAACGAAAAGATAAATAAAAGGTATTTTTATAAAATGTTCACGTTTTTTTTTGTTCAGATTCCTATGCAATTCATTTCAAGATATTTATAGCATATAAACATATACCGGGCTATTTCCCAGGCAAGGATAACACATCTTATTCATTCTGACCACTTAAGATAGAAACTTACATTTGCAAAAATATGCAGTCAACTATTAGCTCTTTTGTAAAAACTCTCAGGAATATTGCTATAATAGTTATGATATTTCTAGCATCACTATACCTTCATACAACTATTATAGTCGTACCCCATTTGATAATTATTATAATGTCCAAAATTTGCACTGTTTGGATATTGATCGTACTGCTGTTGACCACAGTAGGGTTGAAGTTCCGTATTGCAATTATACTGGTAGGTATTTGTAACAAAATTGTCAGTGTCTTGATTGTAATCTTGCATGAAACTGGCATTTGTTATGCTACCACTGGTAACCACAGCTTGTCCTAACTTTTGTTCTAAATTCTTAGCTGTTATAGCGTTACCATTTTTGCTGATGGAAACAACCACGTTTCCCACGTTTACAGTAATATTTTCGCCGCCGTTTGAATACATTTCGATGTCGTTAAGAGCTTGCGATAAGGCATAAATATAGTTGTGAGCGAAACGCAGCGTTTCGATCTTCGTGAGCTTAGTATCTTCAGGAAATGTGGGTAAAACACAACGAAGACGTTCAAGTGCTTCGTTTAACATGTGCATTCTATTCCTTTCTCTATCGTTAGCTTTCAGTCTTCGTACTTTTTTGATTCTCATTATCTGCGTCGGACTTTTGGCACGAGATACCCGATTACGACCAGTGGCGTATCGTCGTTTCGGCTTTTCTTTGACTGGGGTCGAACATTTATCTTCGTTGTTGCGCAGTCTACAAAAGAATTCTAACTCTTCGCTGTCGTTTTCGAAAGGGTTGGACTCGTAGGTTGGTGAAGATTTCCAGGGTTCATACAGCAACGGTGGTTTGACACGTTCAATAAGGCTACTGTGAAAGGCGGCGTTGAACTTATCGTACAGCTCTCGGTTGAAATTCTCTGGTAGTTTTCTTTTCAGCGGAGTAGATAATTCGTTATCTAAATCGATGTAATCACTGCGATCATCAACGATTTCTGAAGACTCTGATTTGAAGGAGTATTCAAATCCAGAGTCGCAACTGTCATCGTACGAAAAGTCGCTGAGTTTGGAACTATCGTAGGTGCTCATTCTGAAACAAAAGAAAAATATTTTTATATATTTTCAAAAGACAAAACGAAGGTAAAACAAAATTGATCAGTTTCTACTTTTTTATTATACAGTTTTATTGCATTAACCTTTGTATTGTCTTTGGATACGCCTGGACTCAGTACTAAAATTCAAATGTTTATATATTAATTATTATATTGTTCTGAAGCTATTTTCTTGTGGCATTTTAAATTAATTACTATTTAACTGGTAATACGCCACAATTAAAGATAAAAAATACGTTTATTGACGTTTCAATTTCCACTTCGGAAATCGTTCTCAACATACAAACAGTAAATTAAACAAATTTTGTTTAATTTACTGTTTGTATTTTGAGAACGATTTCCGAAGTGGAAATTGAAACGTCAATAAACGTATTTTTATCTTTAATTGTGGCGTATACCAGTTAAATAGTAATTAAATTAATTATTATATCGTAAATTTGAGACGTGATGTTTTAGGTTTATATACAATCGACCGTATTTGCGTTTTGAAATATCAGTTTGGTTTTCTTTGAAATGAAAGAAACACATCTATTTTTTATGGGTCCACCTGTACACAGAAGTGTTTCCAAATGTACGTGATGTTTGTTTTGTCTATTTTCCTAAGAAAGGTAATTAGATTTTATGAGATTTTATGAGTGGCTATTGTTAAGGATACTATTGCATTTTGTTAGATTTACATATTTTTTAATAATACATTTTATGTTTATTTCGTACGCCTATGGTGAGTTAGTGCGCATATTGTAAGTGTCTGGCCCACCGCGCAGAATCAAGAAGATATATGGCGGAAGGAGCAAGAGGTCAGCTTGTTACCTTCACTCTGTCAATAAATATTGTTAAAAATAAATACTACAAGTTCACGAAGTATTGGTTTTTAGTAATAATACAGCAAAAGTGTTTACAGTCCACTTTTATCGACACACACATTACCATTGGTCCTTCGAGCCGGATTCAAGCCAAGATAAGTGAAACAAGAACAAGCATTTTTAAGGTTCAATTTCGCTCAGCAAGCGTCTCAGGTTCAAAATCGCAAAGCAGAGTAGACAGTCACGTCGCCGAGTCAAGTGTCAAGTCAACAATCAACCAAAAACAAAACAATCATGGCGCTGGCAGATCAGCTGTTGCTATAAAATATCCTTTTTACACAAATTCAAGTGAAATCTGTAAGTACAATCTTATTATCCCTTTTATACAAATCCTATTGGCATCCTTAAGTAAATATTCCTCAAGAATTAATTAATATGGAAGCATTAATATCAAAAAGAGGTCAAATCAAGGCCAGATTAACTCGCTTGCAAAATTTTATTGATAAATTAGATCTTTCTCAAGTAAACTAATGATATAGTAATAAATTTACAAGAAAGATTACACAAATTTGAGCCATCTTGGGAAGAATTTAATGAATTACAGATGCAAATAGAGAGTCTAAATGTAAATATTGTAGATGATTCTGATGATCGTGTCATATTTGAAGATTCTTATTTTGATATTGTCACTAGAATAAAAAATATTTGTGCAACTTATCATCAATTAAATGAACAAAATGAAATAAGAGGGTCATGCTCTTCAGGTACCGGTTCATGTTCAGGTAGTAGAAGTTGCAATAATATAAATATTAAATTGCCTCCAATAACTCTTCCTCAATTTGATGGTCAGTATGGTGATTGGGTTGAGTTCAGAGATGCATTTATCAATTTGGTTCACAATAATCAACAGTTAGGGAATTATCAAAGATATTATTACCTTAGATCATCATTGAGCAAACATGCAGCCAGCATTATAAAAAACATACCCACCTCAGGTGACCACTACAAGGTTGCTTGGGATTTATTAGTCGAACGATTTGAAAATAAAAAACTATTAGTTCATAATCACATTCACTCTATTTTTGAACTTCAGACATTGACAAGAGAATCACATGTAGATCTTAGAAATCTATTTAATGATATTTCAAAACATTTACGTTCCCTTAAAGCATTAGGGGAAGAAACACATTCTTGGGATAGATTAATAATTTACATTTTAACAAATAAATTTGATTCAACAACAAGGCGTGATTGGGAGTCCTTTGAGCACAAGGGGGAGCTTCCAACAATGACTGATATGCATAATTTTCTAAAAACCAAGTGTGAAATTTTAGAAACATTGTACTTTTCAAAAGTAGAAAAATCAAACAAACAATTATCTGCACATGCACCCAAAAGACAAGTAAGTGCATATACAAGTTCAAATAAATTTAGTTGTCACTTTTGTAACAAATCACATGGACTTTATCAATGTGAATCATTTCTTAAACTAAGTATTCAAAAAAGAATAGAGGAAGTTAAGAAAATGAAACTTTGTTTAAATTGTCTAGGAAAATCACATTTTTCAGCTGATTGTCAATCTAGTAAATGTAAAAAGTGTGGTAAAAGTCACAACACACTATTGCACATAGAACATTCTAATAATAGAGTTAGTTCAGAAATAATTCAAGAGAATTCAACAACAAGAGATTTACATAATATAAATGACGCCAGAATTCAGGCAAACATCACACCATCCACAACTGAGGGTCAGACATCAGTAGCTAATCCTTCAATTCAAAGCATGCATTATGTATCGTCACAAACATTATTGTCAACAGCTTTAATAAATATATATGATTCAAAAAACAATATGCACACATGTAGAGCACTGTTAGACAGTGGATCTCAAAGCCATTTCATTTCAGAACAATTATGTAAGAAATTAGGGATAACATTTTCAGATGTAAATTATGCAGTTAAAGGTGTTGGACAAGCCTTATCAAACATTAATAAACAAGTCAATGTTAAGGTTATGTCATGCATAAATAATTTCAAAATGAATATCACATGTCTAGTATTACCTGTCATTACTGAAAAATTACCTTTAGTATCTTTTAACAAAAAACATTTACAAATACCAAGTCATTTAAAATTAGCTGATCCACAGTTCAATCAATCAAGTCAGATTGACATACTGTTGGGATCAAATGTATTCTGGTCATTACTAGCAGTAGGTCAAATCAAATTGGGACCAAACATGCCCATCTTACAGAAAACCCAACTGGGTTGGATCATTGCTGGAGATTTATCACTTTCAAGGGGTAGGTTCAACTCAACTGTCAATTATTTTAGTATTAACAATGCATCAGATGTCACTGATGATGCATTAACAAGGTTTTGGAATGTAGAAGAAATAAATGATGTCAATAAATTAACAGAGACTGAACAATATTGTGAGGATCACTTTAAAAGTACTACAAAACGAGATGCTAGAGGTAGATTCATAGTAAATATCCCATTTAATCAGCAGATTTCCAAATTGGGAGAATCCAAACAAACAGCAATCAATAGATTTTTTTCATTAGAACGTAAATTACTTGCAAACTCAGAACTAAGAAAGGAATATGTTAATTTCATGTCTGAATATGAATCACTAGGACACATGACTGAAGTCAAAGAAAACAAAGATAAAATAAATTATTTTTTACCTCATCATGCTGTAATCAACAATAAAAGTTTAACTACAAAGCTTCGTGTTGTATTTGATGGATCTGCAAAAACAGACAGTGGCATATCATTGAATGATGCACAATTCATTGGACCAAGCATTCAAAGGGATATATTCACAATTTTACTTAGATTTCGAAAGCATCAGATTGTTATAGCTGCAGACATATCAAAAATGTATCGCCAAATTCAAGTAACTCCAGAGCAACGAAGCTTACAACAAATAATTTGGCGCAGCAATCCTAATGATACTTTAAAGACATACCAATTAAATACAGTGACATATGGTACTGCATCTGCTCCGTACTTAGCAATAAGGTGTTTATACAAAATATATGAGGAAAACAAGGACAACTATCCAATTACAAGCAAGGTAATCAAAGATGATTTCTATGTGGATGATTTGCTCACAGGAGCAAACTCAGTAGAAGAAATACTAGAAATTCAGCATGATGTCAGTAAGTTGTTAGGTGAAGCTGGTTTCGAGCTTCGCAAATGGTTAAGCAATAATTCAAATGTTTTACAACAATTCCACATGAACAAGGAATTGGATTCTAGTTCAATAAGTCTAGGAGAAAATGAGCAGAACAAAACTCTTGGTGTTTATTGGAATGCACATACCGATTCTCTTCATTATTCCACTAGTAATATGTCACAGCATAAAACAATCACAAAACGATTAATATTATCTACAATAAGTCAATTGTATGATCCCTTAGGACTATTAGGACCAATCATAATAACAGCCAAACTCATCATCCAGGAATTATGGAAGACCAACCTGACCTGGGATGAAACTGTTCCTCAACACATTCACACTAGGTGGATACAGTTCAAAAATGGGCTCAACTTCTTGAATAAATTAACCATACCAAGACATATATTACTTTCAAATTACAGTCAGATAGAACTACACGGATTTTCAGATGCCTCCGAAAGGGCATACGGAGCATGTCTCTATATACGCTGTATCTCGGATGCAGGACATATTTCTTCACATTTAATATGCGCTAAGTCAAGGGTAGCCCCCATAAAGCAGGTAACACTACCAAGACTGGAACTGTGTGGTGCAGCATTACTGGCTAGATTGTCAAAGATGGTAGTGGACTCCTTAGAAATTAAATTTGATAGACATTATTTTTGGTCTGACTCAACAATCACCCTATCCTGGATACAAGGTCCATCGAGTAGGTGGAAAACATTTGTGGCAAATAGAGTGGGAGAAATTCAAGGACTCACAAATGCCAATCAGTGGCATCATGTAAAATCAGCAGACAATCCTGCTGACTTATTATCACGTGGGACCACCATAGACATTCTCATTAGTTCACGACTCTGGTGGCATGGCCCACAGTGGCTAGAAACAGATTCTTCTCAATGGTCAATAAAGGATGTTATACAAAGAGACAACTTACCGGAGCAACGCACAGTGGTACACCTATCAGTTAATAATGAATGTACAATGC